CAAGTCTGCCCATGACGGTGAATGGTAAGCAATCTTCATTTCTTTGTCTCAACCCATGAGTTTTTTCATCCTATTTTCTCCCCCTGTTCTGCTGAGGAAGGACAGTAAGTGAGCAGCTGGATGAGTGTTCAACCCTTTGCCAAGGTTAACCCACCACAATGTAATGTCTTGTTTCGTCCAAATAAGTTAAAGAGAGTACTGTGTTTGTAATGAACTGATCACTGTGTCAGGAATAAAGTAATTACACTACCTTGAGTAAAATAACACATCGAAACAAGTAAATACAAACTTTTAAAACCCATTTTTGACAGTCTTTTCCTGTTTTGGTAAGTAGATCCTGGTCATGCTCATTCAATACTCAGAGTTGTTTGATATGTGCATTTTTTCACATGTGAACGCAGCATCTGTTCAAACTTTTGGGAACTGAATTGACAGGCTACAAATCCTTCGTATTTAGGTGAGACAGTAAGGCAAATTATAGAAACATTCTGGCTTTAGGATCACAAAATATACGGCTAGAGTAGAAAAGGTAGTGCTACTCTCTTTACTGATTTCCCCTTGCAATGAAATATCTTCCCATTACCTCATTGTTCAGTCTTTTATGACAAAAGTATTAATGACAGAAATTATTAGCATTAGGAAGAACATGTTGGATATACAGTTCTTGTTTTTTACAGTGGTGGTCCTTTTGGCATTACAAAGACTCTCTTATGTTAACCCTTCATTCTCTCCTCTTCCCTCCCCCCACAGGTTGCATGCATTCCCAGGATATAAAGAACAAATAAGAATAGAATAGGAGACTCAGGGAGGACCTTGTCACTCTCTACAACTACCTGAATGGAAGTTGTAGTCATCTGGGGGTCACACTCTTCTCCCAGGCAACTAGTGACAGGGCATGGCCCGAAGCTTTTCCAGGGGAGGTTTAGGTTGGATATTGAGAAGCACTTCCTCATGGAGAAGATGATTAGACATTGGAATGGACTTCTCAGGGATGTCATCATCCCGGGAGGTGTCTAAGGAAAGACTGGAAGTGGCACTTAGTGCCATGGTCTAGCTAATGTGGCATTAGGTCATAGGCTGGACTTGACGATCTTAGAGGTCTTTTCCAACCTCAGTAATGCTGTGACTCTGTGAATGACACTGCTTTAAATTCTTTCTGCTCTCAAAAGCCAAAGATTTTGAAATAAGAAATAATTGTAAAGATGTTAAAAAGAGGGGCCTGGGACAAAACAGAAATTTGCCACCAGTGTGATAAAATGGGATGTGTGGCCACATGACAGTATGCTTCCACCTATATTTGGTTCTGCAGAATGCAAAGATATAAATGCATCTATAGGCTAGTGTTTTTTGTGAATTGCTGAAATTCAAATCCCTTGCCTACAGCCATGCAGAAATAGAAAAAACTTTACTGTGATGCACAATATATAGTGGTTTAAAGCTTTATTAAATGTGCACTTGTGTAATTTTTTCTTGATATTAGGTATGTTCTTAAGAGGCAACTGTAACCCTCATAGTCCAGTCTCTGTGTAAAGTGAGTATGGATAGAAACAGCTGAATGCCATTTTTTTATGAAGACTTAGGAATCAATTGCTTGATCTTCCTAGAGCTCTTTCTAGAGCTTAAACTTTGTAGCTTTGTGAACTATGTATGATTTCTCTTATGTAATTAAAGTGCCATTCGTTGTCTGCTGGCTGGTTCAGTAACACAGCCTCAGCTTTCGCACTGTATGATGCGTGGGAGTTATAATTTCTTCTTACTTATATACATCCTATAGCATTCTTCATCCTACAGTTTATATTGTCAAGATATTAAAAGGCATGAGTAAACTTGCAGTACTGGTGAAGTTCATGTTGAAACATAGTGAATCAAGAATTTGCCATTTTTCATCTTCAAAAAATGCTACCTGTATCTGGTTCAGCTTCAGAAAAGTTTGTTTCTTCAGCTCATAAAAAACATGAAGATTTCTACCCACTGTCTTCACTGCTGAATCCTGGCAGACATTGATTTGATCTCTGTGTGCAGGAAAGTTCTCCAAGCCATTTCGGTATGAGTTTTGGCTTCCCTTGTTTATGTTTTTATTGATTTGTTTTGGGATTCCATCCAACACAAAACCTGTTGTATTCAAGAGCTGTTGAATTCAAAACATACTTAATTCCAGCTTCACCCCGTAGAGCCTTTTATGATGCGTATGGATAACAGAAGGTTGTTTAGAAGAGGCATCTTTTCTGCTCACTGTACCTCTGTTAGAAGTTAATGTGTGTCTCATATAGAAGTTTCTTTACATTAAATCTTCTTTCAAGAAGTTTAATATCTCTTAATATTACAAAATCTGATAATTTCTGTCTCTTTGCTATTCTGCTTAATCTTTTATATTTTAGGATCATTTGATGAAATATCTACTATTGTTACCCTTTACTGATTGGATTAACATTCTTTGTTCTTAAAACTGGACTTCTCTCACTCCTTAATATTTAGGAAATGCTTAAAACACTGCAATTTGTTTATACATATAATACATTTAATACATTTTAATACATTTCATACATGTATGTCTAAATTTACTGTACAAATCAAGGATTGGATTAAGAATTAAATGCTTAAACCTGGTAGCTGCAGCAGCAGCAAGGTTTGCAGTTTTGAGAAGGTTATTACAGATGTCATCTTCTGATGACATTCAAAACTGAGTTTTGAAGCAGACCTAGAAAATGAAAACTACAATATGTTTTTGTATTGGTAGGAAAATTAAAGTACTTGCCTTCTTAGCAATGACTGCCATTGAACTACCTATGTGCAGCTGTAAAGCCTAGAACCAGCTCTAGTCTCATCACTAAACAGGTGAAAACATGCTCAAACAATAGAATTCCTCTTAATCCAACATCACAAATTATTTTATAATTATTCCTCTTACAAGGAATTATTTCCCTGTCCATGAATAGTTAGTTTTTCTTAATTTGTTCCATATGTTGGTCCTTTGGAAAAGATTCACTGTGCAATCCCAGATAGCTACATATAAAATCTGTGTGCTCATTGTATCTGATCACCTTTGATTAAAACAGCAAGACTATGAATTTTTATTATTTAAATTTTTTGCATTTTTTCTCTGTTCCTCTGTAGAGTCTCTTTACCTAGTTATTTTTAGTAGTCTGGTGCTGTTTGTTCCTCTGCTCTTCCTTTGGTGTCCTTCTTTTAGACCACTAATGCAGTGCTTTGACCTTTTATTTGTGATTTCAGATAAATTAATTTTCCCAGTCTTCTGTAAACAGTGGTTAGCTATGAAACATTTCTTGAAATATAATGCATTCTGGATTTTTAGGAAAGCAACAATGTTTCATAGTATGGGTGTGCAACAATTAGGAAGTCTGGAAGATAATAATTTTATATAAGATCTTGGTTTCATTCAAGAAATCTGGGCCTTTGGAGCTTAGTAGGTTTTTGCTATGTTGATCTTGGGACATTCTGCTTCAGCACCTGAAAGGGATCAGTTTGGTTTTGTGCAATGTTAAAATATTTTCTTACTGATACGAGCGTCTGTTAACTGAAGTAAACTTTTTTTGATATCTCCACTAAAATTACTAGGAAAAAAAAAAGAAAATCAGTAACCTTACTATTTCAGAGAGATTTGCTCTTAGTCACTAAAATGTTACACTGGCAATATAAAAACTTAAATTTGGAAATATTGCTTTAAATGTTCATTAAAACTGCCTCCTAATTTATTCTGTTATATAAAGGAACTGACAGGAATATACAAAAGATGTCCATTTGACATTCAGATTTTAAATGTACAATAATTCTTTCTAGACATCAGCTTTGGTTTATGGTTGGGGTTTTTTTCCAACCTCATTCAAGCACATTTCAGGAGCAAAACAAACTCAAAACCAAATGACAAAAGCACCTTGGCAATATTTTAATTCTCGATTATCTATAGTACTATTATTTTCTGCTATTTAATGGTATTTTTTTCTCCTTTCTGGAAACCCATATGATTTAAGGTGGAAGTGTGGTATGCAGTGTCTTGTAAACATTTAATACTGAAAGGTAACGGTCAAAGAAAAAGAATAGCAGTTGCTAATTAAGATTTCTTTTAATATTAAATCAATTTAATGGAATAGTAAAAGTGTTGAAATATGTAGTATACAGGAAGACTTTAACCTGAATTCCTTTTTTTGTAGATCAGTTATTTTACAGCAAAAATGGCAGCATGCATCCAGAATAATGATAATCTTAAGACTTTGTTTGACTTTATGTGTTTAAGCAATAGCATTTTACCTTATCACTGTTAAGTGTGTTTTAGTATAACTGTCCTTAACCAAAGTTATTCAGAAAATCAGAAGTTCTAATTTCATGAGGTCTGTCTTGCTTTGTGATAAGGTCATATGACTTAGAATGAACAAGAAAGCCGCCCAGTTTAAGTGTTACTTTTGCATATTCTTTCTCCAGATTGCTATATGAAGCTGTACATAATATAAACACATATTCTTGTCTCTAGTTAGTCACATTATAGTTAATGACCATATGGTCATTATGGTATAAGATCTACTGTCTGTTGTATTTATATTCCTCAAGCATATTGTTCCTTCAACTTCACAGTGTGTTAAACTATTTCAAAGGGAAAAAAATCCTTTCCCTCTTGTTTCTGGTTGTCCTATCAAGTGTAACCTTGGACCCTTATAGAGCAATTAGACCAGCCTCTATCCCCTCCTTTGTAATGAGGTTTCTTGCATTTCTGAGTCTATAACCCTTTAGTCTTCCCTAATGGGACATCATTATTCTGAAAGAAACAATGTAAATGTAAATGAATATTCTCATTAACGAGTCACAGAGAAACCTTTAGTGGTAGCGCTGTGGTAATTCTGCTTGTTATTTCTCTGGTATTCCATGCAGATTTTTTTTTTTTATATAATTCATTATTAGTATTCAAAATTACTTCTTCTTTAATTCTGCATGTCTTTCATAATCCGGTGTTCCAACTAGCTCAACCATGTCCTTGTTTTATTCTCCAGGAACCACCTGTGAAACGTTCAAGGTCTCTGTCCCCAAAGAGCTCTTTTAGAGAGTCAGAGGAGCTAAAGAGGCTTAAAATAGCTGAAAGGAAGATTGAAAACTTAGAGAAGACACTACAGCTAAAGGTGAATATTAAAAAACAAAACAAAACAAAACAAACCCCAACAAAACACAAAAAAGCCCCACCCCCCTAGCTATAAGCTTGCATAGATGAAGATATACCAAAATAAACAGACATTTTAAAAATGCAAAATGCGCATATCTTTATGGACTGTAAGTGTGTTAGCATAAGAGAGCACTCTCCATTAGTTTGCTTTTTTCTTTTACTGCAAGGAGTCTTGTCTTGGTACTCCTGCAGTGCCGTAGAAGGCTAATTGGAACTGTCGTCAATAATACGTGCTTGTTAAATAAATTTTCAAAATTTGTGTCTGAGTGTATTCTGAGAAATTCATGTACTGTTATAGAAATAAAGTGAAGGTGAAAATACAAAGAATCTCTTTTTTTTTTTGCATGATGAAGCCAGTATCTTAAAACGCTGAAGTTAGTTACTTGAATCAGAATTACCTCTTAGAATTATAAACCAGAAGCTGTCGGTCTAACAAATTCTGTAAAAAAAAACCAACAACCACAGCCAAATAACACGCCCTCCCCACCCTCGGTAAAAAAGCTTAATAGAGTATGCATTACAATTTCCTATTTTGCCCCCATTTTATAGATTTTTCTTGGTTTATTTTTTTACTACAAAAATAGTACCTTTTGAATGGCTTGTTGGTTTAAAGTTGCACCTAAGAGTGCAAATCCCCAGATACTGAGTAATGTTTTCTTAATTTTTTTTTATAATTTATACTCTTCACCGTTCCCCCTTTCTTCATTGTATAAGTTTGTGCAGTTATGGTGTTTGAAAGATACTTTAGTAGATGTAGTGTACAGCAGATCTGGCTATGTTGAGCATGGTGTGATAAAAGTGAAAAAAATCGGGGAGTCCTACAAACCATAATCCTGAGCTCTGACCTCCTGCTAAAAGGCACTCATATGTGATAAGTCAATTTTAGAAAAAATGTGAGTGGGAATTATATTTTAACAAAAATTGAAAAGTTCATCACTCTGTATATTTTAGAGAGTTTAATGTAATGTCTTAACACATGTACATGTACAGGAAAGATGATTTAGATTTCAAATTCAGTCTTACAAGCCATCTTACTCTTTGTTGCTGAGACTCAAAACATTGATTTTTTTGGTTTTGGTTTTTGGGGTTTTTTTGTCACTATTCAGAAATCTAAGGTATGTTCTACCATCTCTACCCAAGGACTGGCCCTTTGGCAGGCCTTCATTTTGTTAGTTGGCCTGCCAAACACCGATGCTACAGATTATTCTGGCACTGTGGACTACAGCTGCACTGCTCCTAGCAGCAAAGCTCACACATGAGCATGTATGGTTATTGTCTTAAATGATAGTGTCCCCCACGTTTCTTTGTTTTCTTCTGGCAAGAGCAGTGAAAAGAAAAAGAAAAATTCCCTTTGTAATTTCTTCTGTTTCATATTAAAGCATAATTTAGGAATCTGCAGCTTTATTATGTTGGAAGTGTGGGATCTCTCTTTATGACAGCTCTTAATCCATGAGGTCTTTAAGGACTAAGCCTTATATCTTCCTGAAACTGAATATATGAGCTCCTTGCATTTTCTCTTGAAAATATACTTGGCTTCTTTGGCACATGCTTTAATTGATTTAAAAGAAGCTGTAGAGGCACAGGTCAACATATTAAAAGCTGTTGTGGCACTACTTTCAGGATTCAGTGAGGCTATTGCCACTGTGATGGTGAACCCAGCTGTCATAACATTAATATTAGAATAATTCTACTGGTATTGTATGATTTCTTGTTATATGAATCCTCTCAGGCATTGCTTCCAACAAAGAATAAAGCATGTGATCAACATTTTCAAACTGGCACTTGCACCATTACCTCCTCAAGCTGGCTGTTGACTAAATGATTACTTGAAATGTTCTTGCTCTATCAATGAACATACTGATGTTGTCTATCCTGAAGATGAAATTGTGACTTCGTCCATCAGTCCTTCTGAAAAATCAGTAACAATTTGGAAAATCGTAGTGTCAAGTTCCTCACTTCTTGTCAGTATAACACTAATCAAAGAATTAAATCAGTATTTTTTTTAAATTCCATTTTAGTTAAATATTTGCTGTATCATAACTTGTTACAGGTCAATTTTAAGAAAATTTCTAAGTACTGATTAGAATATTCTGGCTTGCCTGAACTGCCTGCAAATAACAGCATGACCTTTTTCCTAGGAGGTTGGGTTCTTCCTCCTGCAGACTGGACTTTATCTTTCGGTCTTTCATTATTGTGTGGGAAGTACTATAGCATCTCAGTGGAGAGCTGGAGAATATCCTGGAAATCCAGCACTGCTAGAGGGAGCTCAGTATAGGAGCCATTTTTCTTCAATATCTTTATCAATTATCTGGCTGAGGGGATCGAGTGCACCCCCAGTAAGTTTGCAGACAACACCAAATTGGGTGGGAGTGTTGATCTGCTTGAGGGTAGGAAGGCTCTGCAGAGGGTCCATAGATCCTTAATACAGATTTCTAGAATATTTTTGTTCACAATATTAAGTAGCAACTAGAAGAAACAGAAACAAGTGCCTTAGAGAAGATTTTAAAGCTGCTGGATTTTTTTATTATTTTTTTTTGTTCTAAATGACAAATAATTTCTATAAAGTTTAAATATGGGATTTACTTGTGTTTACAGTGAATTTTAGGAATATGCTCAGTTGCTTCCTAGGAATAAAAATTACTTAAATAGTAAATCAAAAGTTGATTACAAGAAGTTTTATTATAATAACTGAGTGTTTCAAATTTTACTCAAGTCATTATAAATCAAATTTATCAATTGGTTATAGTCGGACTTGGTGATCTTGGAGATCTTTTCCAACTGTGACAATTCTGTGGTCCTGTGACCTGGAGAGGCTGGATCGATAGGCTGAGGTTAATTGTCTGACATTCAATAAGGCCAAATGTCAGGTCCTGTACTTGGGTCCCAACAACCCCATGCAATGGTACAGGCTTGAGGAAGAGTGGCTGGAAAGCTCCCCAGACGAAAAGGACCCTGGGGTATTGGTTGGCAGATGGCTGAATGTGAAGCAGCAGTGTACCCAGGTGACCAAGAAGGCCAACAGCATCCTGGCTTGTATCATCAATAGTGTGGTCAGCAGGCCACACTAGGAAAGTGATTGTTCCTCTGTACTCTGCACTGGTGAGACTTCGCCTCAAGTACTCTGTTCAGTTCTGGACCCCTCACTACAAGAAGGACATAGAGGTGCTGGAGAATGTCCGTAGAAGGAAAGCAAAGATGGTAAAGGGTCTGGAGAACATGTCTTATGAGGAGCATCTGATGGAACTGGCGATGTTTAGCGTGGAGAAAAGGAAGCTGAGGGGAGACCTTATCCTGTATAGCCACCTGAAAGGTGATTGTAATGAAGTGGGTGTCAGTCTCTTCTCCCAAGAAGCAAGTGATAGGATGAGAGAAAAGTTGTGCCATGGAAGGTTTACATTAAATATTAGGAAAAATTTCATCATTGAAAACAGTTGTCAGGCACTGGAACAGGCTGTCCAGGGAAGTGGTGGAATCACCATCCCTTGAGGTATTTAAAGGACGTGTAGATGTGGTGCTCAGGCACATGGTTTAGTGGTGGACTTGGCAGTGCTGGGTTAATGGCTGGACTTGATGATATTGAAAATCTTTTCTAACCTTAATGATTCTGTGATTCTATGGTTGTTCTGTGCTATTTCTGTCAATATATAGAAAACTGTAAAAGTCAGTAAATTTATTTAAAATTATAATGTAATTCAATCAGAGAGAGATGGAACTAACTGAGATTATTATTCTTCAGGTTCTAAAGTGCTTAATCATTGAATTGAAGTGAATTATTAGTACATTTAATTGTGTAATTTCTGTTTCTGTGAGAGCAGAGCAACTGATAAGGGAAGGGAATAATTGGAATTGAACGGGTAATGGGTCAGGTAACCAGTAATAAAAGTGTAGATTCATAAATAGGAAAGGCCAAATTCTACACTTGATTGCATCTCTGAAAGGGCATTTAGTAAACTTCTGAGGATTTATGCTGAAGATACTTTTTTCCAGTACCTTATCGGACTTGATAATTTTTCACTAGCAATATCAAACAATCTAAGAACAAGGATTTCATGAACATCTCTTAAAAACCCAGCATCTGTAATTGGATAGTGTATTGGTATTGTAGTGTCAAGTAAAGCTTGGCAATAATCTCTGTCCCTTGTCATAGAACTGTCCTGCTACTTGTGTTTAAATGAACCACTTAAAACCTGTCAAAAGTATTCTAAGTAACTCTAAATTTATAAATGTATCTAGTTGAGAGTTTGTTTCAAAAAAAAAAAAAAATCACTACTTTGAGAAAGGATTCAACAGTAAAGTCACTTTAGTACCTGCTTCTATACCTAAATCTGCCTTTTCTTTTACATGAGTCACTTCAAGAAAACTTTTAGAATTCTGTGTCTAGTAGCATTGAAAGTGTTAGCTGCTATTTTTTCAGCTTTGTGTATGCATCACGAAAGTTGAACTATGTTTTAAAAGCCAAGCTCAGCCCAGGTACTTAGTAGTTAGCACTACTGTAGAAACCCTTCCCATGATTTTATTGCTTGCAGCTTTGGCTATTGGTATATCTTATTTATTGACTAATGCTGAAAAGCCCTCCTTACATATGAGGAATAAATGCTTGGAAATAAAGTACTGTGATTTACTTAGATATTAAGGAACATGTTCTTTAGTTACCCTACAAGCAGAGCTCCCACTGAACTGGAAATGAAGCACTGAGAGCCAATTTTACTGCAGGATAATGTCTGGTGAATTCTTTATTGCTGTGTGCTGGAATTTGACTTGCTTTATACTGTGGAATGTCCTCTTAATGCTAATTTTTCAGAGCAATTTTTTATTTTTTTTTTAAACTTCCATGATGTTATCCCGTGGTATAAATCTTACTTTTCATTCTCTAAAAAGAGTACATTTTTTCATATTATTTTGTTATATAAAAACTATTGCAGATTTTTTTTTTATTTCTTGTTTGTTACCGAGGTAGAGGACAAAGTCTTGGTGTTATATAAATTCACATAAATAAATGAGTACATGAGGAAATCCTGCAGCCATTTCAATTTACGTGTTTTGATGTGGACTTCAGTGAGGCTAGTGTTTTCAATGAAAACACATAGATTAGATTTCTATGGGAAAAAAAGAAAGAGAAAAGGAGTTCAGAGGTAAAGGCAGTGCCAGCAATCCTTTTCAGTATATATATTGCTAGGTGTATTAGGCCAATGCATTCACAGGTTGAAAATGGACATTTTAATAATGAATTCTGAAAAACTTCTGAGAAGCATGAAATAATATTTAAGTAAATTTTGCCAAATTAGCAGTATTTGCCAGAGTAGCACTAAGGAAAAATTTTCCCTCAGGGATTGTGTTCTTTCTGTTTAGTTTTCTGAGGCTTTTAATAGTTACTTACACAGAACATTTGTTTCATGTGATCTATATGAAAGTCTCTGACATTTTACCCAACTCTCATTTTATTTTTTTGGTGGTATACAGACTCGAGAAACTGATGAGCTAAGAGCAGCCCATGAAAAACGCAAAGAGAGGCTGCAGATGTTACAGACCAACTACAGAGCACTAAAAGAGCAATTAAAGCAGTGGGAAGAGTGTGATAGCAGGTAAGTTACATAGCTCATTAAAAACATTCCCCTTAAACAAGAAGTCTGCGAAGAAGTATTATATAGGTGTTCAAAAGAGAATTTTATTTGGAGGAAGGAGCTACTACATGATGATCAAGACTATCCTTTGTTAAAGCAGCATTCATGGCATACCCCTTATGTAAGAAAAATTACAGTTGCACGCCAGAATAAAATGTATTGAGCTAAGACCTGGGCTTACTTCATTTAGGATCTCATTGTGACTCTGAGTACTGGATAGGGTCCAGTACTGCTGGGGCTGCTTATTTTTGCTTGCTTAAATCCCCAGTCGATTAATGTGTTGGCTGTGTATGTTGTTAATTTTCTATAATAGAACAATTGTTCCTTGTATTTCAAATAGTTTAAGAAAATAATTGTATTCCTTATACAAAGCAGAAATAACAACCTGTTTAACATATAGCAATTAAACCTTAACTGAAGCTAATCCTAGAATACCTTTCTTAACAGAGGAGCAAAAAATATGTGCATGAAAGGCAGAGTGATGTCATCTGCTAAATAATTATAAAGTCAATTGTTTCTGATCATTCTACAAAAATGTTGCAGTAATACATCTTCATTAATGGAAAGAAGACTCAAAATTTGCACCAAATTTAAAATGCTGATATTGACTGCATAATATGTTTTTCTTCATATAATATTCTATGTGTAGTTGTCCCTTAAATTGTATACAGAACAGTGAACATTTTCTGCAGAATATATATATTTATTTATTTTTAATTCCTTAGCAGAGAGTTAGGATTTTTGGTAAAGAGACATATTTGGAGGTATGAAGACATCTTTTATTACTTCAATTGTGAGATGCCGCTGAGGTAATTTTTCAAGCTGTGTTTCAGTAATTTGAGTAGGTTCTTAAGTCCTGGTGGCTTTAGCAGGACGTAAATGTGCACCTACCATTTAGTAAACACATATGTGTTTTAATAAAAATAGTTATTATTTTTTTTTTAATTAGAGCAATACTGCTGAATCTTGATATAAACTTTATATCTCTCTCTAACTGAAAACTGATTCACAGAAATTGCTGAAAAACTGGTAGCCGTTCAGTGTCCAGGGTGAAATAAAGGGTTCTACTGTGAATGATAAACTGTCCCTCATATATAAATAATGCCTTGGTCTATCTGAGTAGATTTGCATTGCTTTGTAATACTATGACATTTCCTTAATAGTTATTAGTCTTAAACAAAAAAAAAATGCGTGAAAATAGTGTTAAAGAACAAATCTGCTACAGGCATTGTTAGTACAGAAAGATTTTTTTTAAATATCAAAGCGTAAATAATTAATAATTTTGTTTAAATTATAATGAAAATGTTTTGTGCGTTTAGGAATAGCGTGGATGATTTTGTCTTGTAGGTTACTGTTTTAAATTTGGTGCAAGCTGGAAATTACTGAAATATACTGAGTGGTAGTTACTTTTTGCAATGATATAATTTAATTCTGTGTCTAAAGCAAAGTCGGCATTCATAGTCTACTGAGACACCAGGCTGAAAAGATAAATACAAAAAGTCAGTGTAGATAAAGACAGTAAAATCAAACTTGATATGCAGTGAAACACTTAAGTGTTCTGGTTCTGATAGTCAAAAAAAAAAAAAAAAAAAGGAAGAAAATGGAAAAAGGGACAAAAGCAACTTCTGTTTCTGTTTAAAATAAATGAAACTTGCTTGTGTCCTGTCAGGAATGGATTTGGAAAAAGTAGATCTTGGGAGAGGTGTAATACTAAAGCTTTGTTTGTTCATCTTTTTCCTGTAATTAAGATGAGCTGAAAATGGCAGGATTTTGATAATTTTTGTCATCGGAACAGAATTATATGAAACCATCACACTAAAAGGGATTTTTTTTTTTTCCTTTTTAATAAGCTTAAGCAAAGGAAAGAAAATGGTTATGCATTACACTGTTATTTTGTTATCTCAAAAAGCTTTATGCATTAAGAACTCAGTATCAAGTACTTAAGTGGCACTTCTGATCCTTTGTATGTGATGAAGGGCCACATTCTTTCTGATCGTTCATAGATTATAATCTGTTATTGTGATGGTACTTGATGAGACCTAATTCCTCTGTCATTGTGCATACAACTTCCACTGACATACATGACTGCAAAGGTGGTGGGGGCCTTATCAGGTTAGCACATTCTTTGGGAGTTTATTTCTATGCCCAGCAAATTTCTAAAAACAATGTTTATATCTTGTATCACTAAAATACATAAAATATTTTAATTACAGAAACTGTGGAATATTTTAATTTTCTTTTTCTGTGCTTCTAAATTTGGTATGCTTTTTCCTCATGCATCATCTTAGCATTCAATAGCTTTTTATCTCATGAGACAGTATATCAACACTTTAATTTAGGGTGGGTGTTAATGCAACTTCCAGTTTGGTTTTCAGGGGCATTAGGGCAGCTGTTGGCTCTCCCATATTTTTTTTAAGAGATTGTGTGACCATTTCACAGTCTGCTTTCTCATACTACTATTGTAAGGGATTTTGACAGAATGAGTGCATGTGACAATGCCAGAGCCATGGTGCCATACTAGCACAATTTCTGTCTAAAACTACATCACTGAACTTTTCTGTAATAGCACATGTAAGATTTTATGCCTCACAAAATGTATACATCATACAAGATTTATGTTCAGCAGCTACCCCAGTTTAAACTTTTTCTGAAAGCAAAGGTGCTTTTATTCTTCTGGTCCTAAAATGTAAATATTTGACAGCAAACAACCTCTTTTTATTCATAAACAGGATTGAAAGTGGTAAAAGCACATACCAGCATACTGACCCCTGTCAGCTTTGTGAGGATGGTTGTGATGCTGGGTGGAATGAACTGGCTTTTTTCAAAAGGGAGCACAAAAAGCTGTTGATCGAAAAGTAAGTTTGTTTCTTAAATCGTGTTTATATAAAGACACATTCTTCTAGTTTATTTATTTTTTTTCTGCAGGTAGTGCTTTGTAGGCCACAAAAGAGGAATTTCTTGCATAATTCCAAGATAAAACCATCTTTCACCAAAAGCAGAAAAGGAAAACATCAGCTCTTTTTTTTCTTCCCTTTTTTTCCCCCCTCTTAAATCAGTGACAAGTTACAAGTTTGCTAGCACTAACAGAAACTGTATTCCATGATCTAGGGATTGTGTTAATTAATGTGGCTCTCATCTGTTGGAGGTGTCGCTCTTCATTAGCCTGTATTTTACACACTGCCGTGCTTCATTTTTGGAATGAGGTGGTGAGGGGATAACCTAGCCAGCCATCCTTGTTTGATCTCAGTGATACATACGCAATGCAGAATGCCTCAGCTCTCTTGGTTCCCTGCCCTGTCCTGCTAATCCCAGCTGAGCTCATTATGGTGTAGCCTTGCTGCTTCTCCTGGAGCCAGAGCTGTCCAAGCTAATTACTGGTAGCAGCAGAGCTGCCTGTTAAGGGTCTGGTGTGGATCTGCTAACATGGTCCTTGGTAGTGACCTGCAAAAAGCACGAGGGATTTGTTCTCTTTCTTGCTGTGCACAGCCTGTCCTTTGGGTTTAGTGCTGATCCCTTCACACAGCTCTTTTAGCTGTAGTAAGTGTAAAACTTGGTGAAGGAAACTCTTACTTTAGAAAACACACAGTTTGCTACTTTGATCTCATAATTCATAGGCTATTATACTCAGCCAGGCAAAGTAAGAAAATGTCCTTTTATACTAGACAGAAGGAAGTTAGTATAATTAGCCCTTTGCTGGTATTTAACACTTGCTGTTATTCAAGTTGATTTATATTTTTTTTAATTTAAGAATCAAGACATCATAGAAACTTTTATTCAGAATTCATTTTTGTCAGCATTAAAGAAAATGTTTTCCCAGTGGATCACAATGTAAACTGATTTTGTGAAGATACCATGAAGGCTGCTATCACAGAATTTCAACAGCTGCAAATTGTTTAGTAGTATGTAAATCCTTGTGTTACCTATAAGCTGCTTTAGCATATTACATACAGTATTGCCAGTAGCTGTGTTGCATGGGATATTCTTATATCCACCAGTTACAATTGTGTGCCTGTGCTTATCACTTCATTGTCACATCTTTATTTGCTGTTTTGAAACTATCACAACAAATTACCACATCTTCTTCGTTGTTTTGGTTTGGTTTTTATGTAGTAAGGAGCACTTTCTTGCCATACATATAATTGCAGTTGTAATTCTCCTTCCATCACTAATCCACCTGTGCACCACAGGCAACAGTAACTCAGGAGTAGTTAGGTATGCCTCTGCTTTTCACCCAAAGCCATGAAAAAGAGATTGCGTATGTATTGTGCACATCCTGAATGCTGGTGGACTTGGACTGTTTCTCTATGTCTCCTGTGCAGTCACATATATAGGGAACACTTTTATACATAGTAAATTGCAAATCAGTGGCCCTGACTAGCTTGTGATAAAGTGACATGAGCAAAGAGTTGAGCATTTCAAAATACATAATTTTAAAGTCAAAATGGGTTCTTAAAATTTTTCATAGTACTTAGTAAGAAAGTAATGCACCGTTGTGATCGTTAAGGTAAAGGGTTTAGGTGCTTTTTACTCCTTATGGGAAACATAGCTTATTATTAGTTGAATTAAGGAAAGATTGAACATGTAACGCCTGTCCTTTTTATCTGTTTTCAGCATCTGTCTGTAATAACTATTGTCTTTAATTTGTTAAAGCAAGTCAGTATTTCAAGATCTGAGCTAAGTTTCTGAAGAAAATCAATATTAGTATACTTTTTATGTCTGTGGATAGGAATTCTTGATATTGCATCCTTACTTTCTTAAGGTCTGTGGATAAAGACACGGCCTACAGAGTTGTATCAGTTACATAAATGTGTGATTTTACAAGCACTGTAAGTAAATCAGGTTAGCCCTGAGGTCACATTTAATGTGATAGACCGAATTGGTTGTTTCCTTAATTTAGCTTGATTTAGAACTTGTATAAGTCAAATCCAGTGCAACATTGTTTAAAGAAAAGTGTCTGTGTAAGGATTTTATATTGGTTTAAGTCTATTTTAACTTTAAATATTTAGAATTTCTGTCAGTGATGAGGCCAGAGAGGAAACATTAGGAAAACAGAAATATTTGTTGTTTGTTTATTTGTTTTACCTATAAGGAAGATTTTTCCTTTCTTCCTCCCTTCCTTTCCTCTCTTCCTCTCTTCTTTCCAGTGGTAGAGCAGTGACATAAAGAGTCTTTAATATTGCTCTGAAAATAGATAGTTAATAAATAGAGTATGGCGTAAAACGAAGGAAAGATAAATTATTTTTAAACTTGGCTACTAAGTGCTAAGTGTTGTTTTACTTTATATAGAATTGTATTGATAGACAGATCCTTCCACATTATGTAGATTCATCTTTGTACCTGTATTGTTTGGATTTTGCTGAAATTCTCGGTAAATTAGTATGTAGCGTGTCCAATTGAACTGCTACTTAATTGCAATCTAGCTAATTTAAACTACTTTGTAATTTTCATATTAAATTCATGTTTACCAAAGTATAAGGTTACCTCGTCCCTTTGGCCATTATGTGCAGGCTTTGTAAAGGCATAGTTTAGAGGGATTGTACATAAACTATTGTGGAAGTTTTACTATTTTACTTCTTTAATTCTGGATTACTTTGTAGGAGATCTTTGATACCAGCAATTGATAGCAGCAACACTGAATTATTTGAAGTAGTACATTCTTAGACATAAAGACTTTCATCATATCTTTTCTCACAGCTAACTGGAAATTGGTTGTCCTTATGATGTGATTATATGCAGCTAGTGACAAGAAAGAAAACTTTATAAAGTGAAAGAGATAGCCACATCATTCATAGAACCTTTGGTAGTCATTCTTCCCTGCGAGTGCTTGAGTAGCTGTGCATGTCCTCCATGCAGGAAATACGCTCAGGTTCTTTGAAATATGTGGAATCACTGCCAGCTTGGTAGCAAACTAGATGTTTAATAGAGGTTTCTTATCAGCTTTATCATTTTTAGAAAAACAGGGCCCCATGATTTCTTCTTTTCCTTATTCTTCATAGATTCAAAGCAACAGTTCTATGCCCTGTGTAGTGGTATCTCTCCAGCCAGTTGCCAGGAATCTAACTTGGGACCAGCAACAGCATGTTGTTCTTCTTTCCTTTTCTAGCTATCTGAATGCATATGGTAGAGGAAAGCTAAATTTACTTATCTGGAATAGTGGCAGTAAGAAACACAAACCTAGGCTTTAGTGCTCTGCTTCTTGTGTCTTTTTTTGTTGTTGTTTGATTTTGGGTTTTTTTATTTGGTTTTCATAGAGAACCTGCTGAAAATATTTGGTTTTGATCACCTTGGTGGTCTCATTGGCTGAATAGGAAATATCTGGTCATCAGAGACTTTTAGTTTGTAAACCTCCATTGTTGTGTGCAACATCCAAATACCACACCAGTTTCTGTCTTTGTTAAACTCAAAAATCTGTGTCGTGTACCAAATTAATTTGGAAAAAAAGTGCATTCGTGCTACATCAGTGTTAAGAAGCGTCACCTACAGAGTATAGCCCTTCAGACATAGGTTCTGTCTCTGTAGAGCAATAATTTTGTTCTTCAGTTTTAGGAGTGCTGGGAAATATCAGTTTTCTTGCTGCAAAATACTTAAGGGCTAAGCAGTCTTTCTTACTTTGTACTAAAATTAGTAATTTTATACTACAAAGCCAAACATGGTTAAACCAATGATGTATATGTATTTCTCTGGATTTGAGGTGGATAAAAAGATTGGTAATTCTAAATTACCACCTTTCATTCTACTGAAACTATTAGAAGCTAGATTCTGTAGATGGTCACAGGGGGTTCTGACAACAGAGCATGATCACTGCCTGGACTGATCATTGCTCAGTGTAAATGACACTTAGGCTCCAGTGTGAGAACTTGAAACTGCATTTTTTGGCGGAAAGTACTACAAAGAATTTAAAATGTGAGAAAACAGCATCATTATTGATCCTACAGGGTGCCATTTTTAAAAGATACTTTTAAAGGACTGAAGTCAGAACTGTAAAGGCCACATGAAGTCATTTAGGGGCTTTTGCATAATTAACTTACATGGCCTGTTTTGTGAAGAGAATTATTTCCTCTTTTCTAGCAAGCTGCCAGTTACATTTTCACAAGGCACCATGTCAGCTACTTGAAACAAATACATTATTGTTTTCAAATGAGTGTAATCTGTCAGAGCTGATGAGAGTAATGATCTTTAATTGTTAAGCTTGTCTCTAGAACTTTTCTTACCTGTGTGCACCAGATCTTGTAATTTCCTGCATCGTAGCTAACAGTCAAATCTGGTTGCTTACTGTGTTTATGGAAATCAGATGTGTTGATGTTTTTTCTTTTTCTTCCATATTATGTTAACCACAAGCAGAAACAGAGGAATAATATTTGCTCATTATTAAACAAGAGAGGTGAACTAGTCACCAAAAATGCTGCAAAGGCAGAAGTCCTCAAGACCTTCTTCAATTCTGTCTTCACCAGTGATGTTGGGTCCCAGGTCACAGGAACAGAAATCCAAGTTGATGCAGACACTGATCCGCTGTCAGTGAAGGGACAGCTGGTGTGTCAACTATTACAGGAGCTTGACCCATACAAATCGATGGGCCCAGATGCCATCCACCTTAGGCTGTTGAGAGAGCTGCTGATGTCATTGCAAAGCCACTCTTCATAATCTTTGAGAAGTCGTGGAGACTGAAGGATGTCCCTGAAGAGTGAAGGAAGGCTAATGTCATCTCCATCTATAAGAAGGGTTCAAAGGAAGACCCAGGTAATTACAGCCCCATCAATCTCACTTCAGTCCCTGGAAAGGCCATGGAGCTAATCCTCCTGGGGACAGTCACAAATAATTGAAGTACGTGACTGGGAAAAGCCAACATGGATTTACC